GACACAGGAGAGCAGCCGACACAATGGTGTGGTGTTGCAGAGACCTATACCCCAGCTGCTTTCAGAACACCACTGGCAGCCAGAACTACACCAGCAACAAGCTGGGAAGGGACTTTCACCAGGAGCTCAGAAGGTGAACCCAGACAAACAACTGCCCGTCCTGCTGGCCTGTTGGATTTCACCAGGAGCAGAGACAGAGCAGCACGTCCCAGACGGGCAGTGAGGGAACAGGGTGGATCTCACAGCCCAGTGGGCTCCCACAAAGCCGAGTCAGGTGTCATTTGGTATAGGGAGGCAAAGGCTATGGGACAGGACTGAGCATGCACTGAGCTGGGAGTGAACGCATTTCTGGCTCATTTGTTGAGTTAACTGCAACAAAGTGCCATCCTACAGGTTCCACCCAAGAGAGGCACGGGTAGCCCTCAACCTGATAGCCAGCAGATCAACAACTCTACTAGCGGCACATCACGTGCCACTTTGTACAGTGTGGAAAGACTTTAAGACTGCAGGACAAGAGTGAGCTGTGCATGTGCTGAACGGGGATGAACTCACTGAGCTCAGTGCATTGCACTGGTCCCACAGGGAAGAACACCGACTTTGGCATTGTATGGGTCAAAATAGGTACATGTGGCCCTCTGCCTAACAGCCAACAGGTTCAGGAAGGATCAGCACCAACAACAATCCAGTTATACAAGACACCGGATGCCTCCCTAATTCTGGGACCTCCTCTAACTCAAAACCGGAAAAAGATCCTATAGACAATGGTGCAGCCTCAGCTTGGTATCACAGCAGGTGGAGATGGAAAGCCAGGAGCTGGGGCTACGCAGACCATACTAAAATCGAACATAAGAATCCAGACCTGGAACTCGTGGAGGGAGTGGCACAAGGGATTGCAAGCAAAGAGCCACGTGCCAACCACAAAAAGAAAAATCAAATTGCAGACTTGTGGGTGACACAGCTTAGAAACCTGCCCCAAGGAGAAGAAACTCACAACCTCAAGTACAGTGACCAAGAGAAAGGAAGAGACAGAGACACAATGCATGTTACTCAAGACTCCCTTGCAAAGCAGCAAAACCCTTGGTCAATCTCAGAGTGAACTGAGGAAGACATCAAGAACATGAGGGATAACCCTCAAGACTCTCGAATCCTCACAAAGGACTATCAGTACGGGCACCAAGGACTTCATCCCAACAGCCAAGGAGAACACGCGGAATGGCAGTGCCTCTGGAGGCCGAGAACTCCAAGGTCACCCAGCCCCGTCTGGATCTGCTACATGACATGGAAGAAGCACAAATCCTTCCTCACATGATCCAAGGTCCTCGGAACAACAGCCAGGAGCCCAGAGTCGTCTGCAGAAACACAACAACAGTAGGCTTCCTTCAGGACCAGGCAGAGCAGCTTTTTCTGGTCCTTACTTAGTTCCTACTTGGATCCCCACCCTCTCTTGCAACGACCATCAGGGTCGCTCCGGATCCCCTGCCCCCACCCCCAAGAAAACTAGAATAGATACACAGAAATACAAGCAAAGCTTAGAACCAGACAGGAAATGGTCAGCATGGATCCACATAAACCTTACGAGGTAGGAAACAAAGGATTAGTTACTCCTCACTAGGGGATTGGAGATTTCTCTGCACACCCCTCCTAAAACGCTTCTGCACCTCAACTGTTGACAAATGCCTTGTTGAAGTTACAAGCCAGTTTAGACTATCCTAAAATCTGCCAAGTTCAGCAAAATTATGCTTCAACACTATAAACTGCTAAATACTAAAATGAAAATAGACACGAGACAGCTGAATAGCACCCCATAGCCACTTCAAGGTGTATAGCAGCCAGTCCTGTGTATCAACAAAAATTGAAATGTCAATGAAGTAGTCAGGATGTGGTTAAGAACTTGCATTGTTTTAGCATATGGATTACCCAATACCATGTCAATTCATTCCATAATGTTGCAAACTGTCGTTGATGTTGTGCTGGGGCTTTCAATTGATAGGGATGACATTCTGCCAGCTCTACCTTTAGACCAGAGAAGGTCTCCCCAACAAACTGCTGAATGTATCTGGACAATAAGATGCTGGACTCTATGCTTGGTGTATGATTGCAATGAAAGAATCTGGACTTAACTTGAACTGTAGTACTGCAACAAGGTGGAGGAATCCACACTGAGCAGAGGGCACGGGAAGGGCTGGGGGGAATCCCAGAGCCTATGAAACTGTGTCACATAATGCAACCTAATTAATTCAAAAAAAGAGTTATGGGTAAAAAAACATTGAGCAAAGCATAGCCTTACCCACTTTCCTGTAGCCCTTGACCCTTTCTTGCCCTAATCACCCCTGTGAAGATTATCACAAATAAAGAAAACAAAAGTCATGGCTATCCCAGGAGGTATAGAAAGGGAAGCTGGGGTTCAAGGTGTATTCAACCAAATAATAGGGAAATTTTCCCTAATCCAGTGAAAGAATTAGGAAACAACACCCAGGAAGTGCACAGAACTCCCAACACGCTTAACCAAAAGCAATCTTCACCACAAAACATGACTAAATATTAGAATGAAAATAGACACAAGACAGCTGAACAGTAATCCAGAGCCATTTTAAGATGTATAGAATCCGGCTGTATATAAACTAAAATACAAATGTCAATGAAGTAGTCACAGGATGTGGTGAAGAACTTGCATTCTTTTTTTCATTTACATATTGTTTACTCAATACTATGTCAGTTGATTCCATAATGGTATCAATTTTTGCTGATATTATGTTGGGGCTTTTAATGGATTGGGATGATACTCTGCTGGCTCTCCCTTCAGACCACAGAAGGTCTCCCCAACAAGCCGTTCAACTTCTCTGGACTACAAGGGGCTGGACTCTATGCTGGGTATATGCTTGCAAAGAAAGAATCTCAACTGAACTTGAACTCTGGTCATGCAACAAGGTGGAGGAATCCACCATGGGCAGAGGGGTGGGGGGAATCCCAGTACTTATAAAACTGTGTCACATAAAACAATGTAATTAATAAAAACAAAACAAAACAAAAGAACAAACAGAAAAGGAAAAAAAAAAACAACAAAAATGGCAATTAAACTCACAGGAGACCTCTCTACTGGCCAGAAGAGAATGGAGCAACATCTTCCCAATCCTCAAAGCACAAAATGGTCAGCCCACGATGTCGTACCCAGCTAAATTTTGTCTTCACAAATGAAATAAAATGCTTCCAATGGAAAGAAAAGTGAAAAGAATTTGCCTCTTCCAAAACTGCACTACACAGAAGACTTAAACAGGTTCTCTTCACAGAGTAAAGGAATACCACCCACCAAAACCAACAACATCCCAGGAAAAGAACAACAGAAGACTCAATCAATGAACAACCCATTGCTAAAACGACAGGACCAAATTACCACCCATTTACACTAACACTGAAGAGAAATGGCTTCAACTCCTCAATGAAACGTCACAGATTAGTAGACTAGATCTAAAAGAAAAACAAACACATCTGTTTCTTGCCAACAGGACACATCTCTCACCAACAAAAACTAGATCTCATGGATTTTGGAGAACTGGGCCTCCTCACTTGCTAAGCCTGAGCAGTGGACAGCATGCCCAGATGCACTTGGGGCAGATGGCAGCTCACCCAGGTCTGCAGAGGACATTGAGTACCATGTAGACGATGGGAGACAGAACCAATCGGACAACTCTCCAAACCAGGCTTTAGCATCAAGCATCGGGGCAAACGGACACTCTCAGGTGGACAATGTCAGCCAGTGGACCTTGGAAGAATTTCCTCATTCTTGCAGCAACAAAACCAACAGCCTTTCAGAACTATCACAACCCCTTGCGCAGTGCCCTCAGAGCCTGATCCACATCTGGGACCCTGGGATGATATGGGGTGGCTGTCCTCCACCCCCCGGCACTCATGCGGTTAGGATGCTGGGTATGGCTTCACCTCTTCTTCTTCCCTTTCCCCAAGAACAAAGAGAACAAAATGAACATCAGAAGCGATGGTGTCATGCACGGGAGCCTATTCCTCCACCCTTCCCATGGGATACACTGGTACACATGGACATGGATCCATCTCAACTACATCATCAACACCAAAATAAAATCATTTTATCAGACTTGTTGTGGATGAGTAGGGAGGCCAGAGGCCTGGAGTGTGGCAGTGGACAGTGTGGTCAGAGATGGGGTCCTGGGTCAACCAAACAAATGGTCCACACAGGGTCAGGTGTCAGGCAGGTATGGCAGTTACTCCTGCGATGCTTCGAGCTGGTTGCCAGGTTGGAATAACAGATGACATCAGAGGATTCCGCCCCTCCTGATTGGAGGGGCCACACTCACTGGCACCTGCCAGCACTGGCTAACAGCGTCTTCTCCGAGCTGGGCTTCAGTGTTGACTCCCACGCTGAGGAAGATACGACACGGTGCGCTTGAGCCAGCCAGGCTTGATCGGGAAGGACTGAGAGAGATCAGGGTGTGGGTCCGCAACAGGGAGCCACGGTTTTGAGAAAGACCATGGCCAGCTGCGAACCGGACCCCCAGATCGAGGACTGTCCCCTGGAGGCGCTGGTGGATGATGAGGTCCCAGGACCACCAGATGAGGGGCCCGAGGGAGCAGGTGACTCACAATCTCACTGGGGAGGAGGAGGGTGGCAGCAGTCCTAGGGAGCTGAGGACAAGTGTGATGGCAAAGAAGGCCTCGGGGGGTCAGGATTGGAGGACAGGCCTCCAAGAGGAGACCAGGATGCCCACAAGGACACAACCCCAGGGAGCTAGGCACGGCAGTGGGGGGATTGGGAATGGGGCAGGTGTCCTGGCTTCCATTACAGGCTAGAAGACAGGCTGGGCAATGTTGGGTGTTGGGGGTGGTACCAAGTGTGCCATGTGTCAAGGAGCAGGCGGCCTCAGGAGGAGGCCCCAAGCTGGGGCTGGGGAGCATGGCAGCTTTCAGTTATTCTGTGGGGGCCAAGACTAGAGATGGCCCGTCACAACAGAGCCAATTCCTTCCCACAGCCCCACACGTGGACACCAGCTCCCAGCCCCAGAGTTCTGCCGGCAGCACAAAGAGGCCTTGGTCCACAGCCTTCTCAAACTCGGGGTCAGACTCAGAGACAGAGGTGACAACAGAGATGCAGGGCATATGGCCTCGGGGCTGCAGGGCGAGCTGGCCCCGGAGACCAACCCAAAGGTGCACACAAAGCACAGAGCCCACGGAGAATTGGGATGTGGAGTGGCTCCTGGGGCTGAAGATGAGGCTCAAGAAGCAGCGTGTGTCGACGGTGCTGCCTGAGCACCACAAGGTCTTCAACAGGCTGCTCGGTAGGGCATGAGACTCGGGGAGGGTCGTGGGGGGTGCTTCGGAGGGAAGGGACAGGTCCTGGGGGACCTGGATGGAGCCTCGCCTGTGTAGCCAGAGAGACTGGGGGCCTGGGGAGAGCCCTGGATCTGCCAGCCTCTCTGATACACATGAGCTCTTGCTGCCCACGTCCACCAGCGGGGCTGCGGAGATGCCGGGCTCACTGTAAATGCCGGGCTGTCACCCACTGATCACCCCATACAGACTGAAACAGGCCTCAGTGGCACATGGGCAGCCACGGGCATGTGCACAGGCCCAGGACACACATCCATGCTGGACCAAGCCCTTCCACACTGGCAGCCACAGACCCTTGCTTGCCAGCCACATGTGCCCAGCCTCTGCATGGCTGCTGGACCCTTGGCTCTGACCTGACACTTCCCCAGAAGAGGCCAGGGCCCGCCTGCTTCTCAGCCTAACACACTGGCCCCTTTCCCCAGAGGATCCCGTGGTCAAGCGGTTCCTGGCCTGGGACAAGCAGCTCAGAGTATCTGACAAGGTGAGTGGGCCCGACACACGGGGATAGATTGGGTTGGGGGACACAGGGCATAGCACCCCTGCAGTCATCTGCCCCTGCACGTGCCTCCACCCAGCACGCACACACAGTGCCTGCCCTTTCCTGACGGGCCCCGCATGTATGACGGAGCCTGTGGCATCTCTGCTCCCCACTGAGACTGCTGCCTCTGTGCCAGGCCCCAGGTCAGGCCAGCCTGGATGTCACAACTCTCGTGGGCATCCCTGATGATCAGGGCCCAGGTGCCCAGCTTCCTGCTCCTCCAGAGCCCTGGGAACCCCAGCTGCCCTCACACAGGGCCCTGGCAGTGGCAAGGCTACACTGAGTGGCAACAGCCCACTGCCCCAATCCCCACCACCCTGTCCTGATTCTCGTCAAGTCATGACTCGTGTCGTGCTGCCCTCTCTCCCTCAGTACCTGCTGGCCATGGTCATCGCCTACCTCAGCCGAGCCGGCCTCTACCCATGGCAGTACAGGCGCATTCATTTCTTCGTAGCTCTGTGAGTATTCTGCTTCCCGACTCTCTGCCCTGGAACATGCAGGACTGAGTCCTCCCTCCACCTGCAACAGCAGAGTCAGCTCCAACACCACACCCTCCCTCTGCTTCTCTGGCCTCCCAGCGCTGCTGCCCAGCCCGCTTCCGGGGGCACCCTTTCTGATCCCTGACCTGCTGGGCCCAGGCCCGTGTGGCAGGGTCACGTCACAGTGCCCACAGGCTCTTACAGGCTTGGCCCTACTTGAGTGTAAGATGACAGCTCAGCTCCTGCCCTTTTGTGGCACCTCATTCACTCTGCACAAGGCCTTGCCTGGTACATGCCATGGGTCAGAGAGTTGACAGGGAATGTGGAACTACAAGCTGCATGTGGAATGAGTGCACGGGAGTGGATGGACACGCTGTGTCTGCCCTTGGGGGCACGTCTGTGTCGTTGGGGAGGTGTGTGCACCTGCATCATGGTGAAGGGGTGGGGAGGGGGAGGGCAGGGATGCAGTGCCCAGGGCCCAGGAGGGAGGCATTCTCTGCCAGTTCCTGTCCAGCTACAGGGGCACTGAGGGCTCCCATGCAGAAGCTGAGCTTGGCCAGAGGTCTTCCCGCTGGGCCCGCGCAAAGAGATGGGCTTCTTTTCCCAGCTACCTGGCCAACGACATGGAGGAGGACGAAGAGGACGACGAGCCTCCCAAGCAGGCCATCTTGTCCTTCCTCTTCGGCAAGGATGACGCCCAGCGGCCCCTCTTCGACCACCTGCGCCTGCAGTTCATGCGCTGCATGGGCTGGAAGGCCTGGGTCACCCTGGAGGAGTGTGAGGAGGTGGGTGAGGCTGGGGCGGCTTGAGCAGGACCCAGGAGCAGGGCTGCAGGGCCCGGGGCTTGGGATGTGGGGACAGGCAAGAAGGGCCAGGGAAGAGCCTCTGAGGGAACGTTTGTCTTTCCAGATCCAAGCCTATGACCCAGAGCTCTGGGTGTGGGGGCGAGACCGGGCCCTCCTAGCCTAAGCTGCTGCACTGACACCAGTGGTCACCGGCCAGAGGGCAGGTGCGTGCAGGTCCTCGGGGTGGGCTGGGAGGGGGCTGTCTCCAGTCTGGGAGATCTGGGGACCCCTTGAGCTGCACTCCCTTTTGTCACCCCCACCTTTCTAAACCTGGTCCAGATCCACAGTGGGAGATGATTAGATGAGATGATTGGATGGGACTGTGTGCATGTCCACACCTCCCATTCAATTCTGCCGTGCTCTGCAGTCACCCACACTCACTTTCCAACAACCCTCACCACGTTGGCCACTCCAGCATCAACGCTGGCCCCTGACTCCCACCCCTGCCGCCTTGTCCCCTCCTGCAAGCTTCCACCCCAGCAACACCTCCAGCATGGCCAGTGCAGCTGCACAATTGTGTGGCAGCTCTCATGGGGGACATGCATGCATGACTCTCCTTTGGGGTGGGGAGGGCACCAGCTAAACATCTCTATCTACTTTCCAAGTATTCCTATGCTCATGGAATTTGCCAGAATGCGGAAGGGTAAGCACAGCAACATCCTGCATGGTGGTCACCCCGACTCATCAGTTCCTGTCAGGGATGGGGGCTGGGCAAGGACGCACCTTGGGCCGTGAGCTGAGTGGTTAGGGTCCGGGATTGGGCATGGTTTCTCCTGTTGGCGAGTGGCCCACCTCAGGCCCAGAGTCAGGGACCCCCACTGACAGGCCGAGGATGGCTGACAAAGACCAGAGTTCAGAACCAAGGGCCAGGGCGCCAGGGAGTCTGTCTCCCAGCCCACCCGTGGGGACTGAACTGGCTGCGAGTCACGTCTGACTGGGTCTCTCCTGCTTCCAGGTCGGTGAGCCCAGGGGAGACGTTCTTCAGCAACAGCAGCAGTCCAGACACCAAGGGCCACTGCGAGACAGGCGACAGGCCTGCTGGCCGACAGTCTGGAACAACCCAGACTCTTCGACAACAGCGTCCCCGCCAAGTACTCCTGCCAGCTGTGGGCACTCCCGGGGCTGTGCGGTGGGACAGGCCTTCTATCCACTTCCATCCTGGCCCGACACTCCATCAAACTGGCACAACTGATCTCCTCCCCTGAGACAGCAGCTGCAGCCCTACTCCTTTATTGATTTAGTCACTCAGTTTCCAACTATCTGGTCCCCACGGTCAAAAACCATCAGAGGGGTCCCACTCTTGAACCCATCATTTGGGTGAATTGCACTAACTCAAATTTTACTCATACTTCTAATGGAGTGCATATTCTATATGTAGTTCTCACATAATGTATACATAATAAGATATATTTTCTTAGAAAAATATTTTTAAAACGCTATTTTTAGAGAAAATTTATTAAATTTATTGCACATCGTTTTGAAATAGGGGGCAGAATTGGGAGGGGGGCTACGGGGAGTCGCTCAAACTAGGCTGCAGCTCCCACTGGTTCGCGGGAGGACTGAATAGGAAGTGGATAGGATTCAGCTGGACTACAACACACTCGTTGGGTTATGAGGAAGACAGGGCTGGAAACAGAATGGACCCAGCAAGCTTAACGACCAGCATGTGCATAAGCTGACTGGGGTGACGGACAGTGCTGGACTCTGTACTAGCAAACTCACGCAAGAATCAGGTCTGGGATCATCTCAGAGGAAGTTTCTTTGGAGATCCCTCCAACGGAACTGCTGATCTTAGAAGCCCAACCACCAAGAGACTGTCCGCCAGTGGACTCTGAATAGGTTTCCTTGCGATTGGAACTGCGAGACTGGCAGCAATCCAGAACTGATGAACTACCAAACCCGCACAATTCTTGTAGGCGATCTCAACACGCCTCTAACACCAATGGACCGGTCTACGAAACAAAAACTCAACAAAGAAACAACAGAGCTCACACAAACAATAGAACAACTGGACTTAGTAGACATATATAGAACTTTTTATCCTAAGGCCACAGACTATACATTCTTCTCAGCGGTGCATGGCACCTTCTCCAGAATCGACCACATGATAGGTCATAAAGCGAATCTAAACAACTTCCAAAACATTAGAATCATACCATGTACCCTCTCAGACCACCATGGGATGAAACTGGAAATCAACAACTCAAAACTCCCCAGGAAGTATAGGCACTCTTGGAAATTGAACAATATGCTATTAAATGAACAATGGGTCAGAGAAGAAATTAAAGATGAGATCAAAAAATTTATGGAAACCAATGAAAACTCTGATACAACATTCCAAAACTTGTGGGACACCGCCAAAGCAGTGCTACGAGGTAGATTCATCGCAATCGGAGCCCATGTCAAGGCCCAAGAAAGACGCCAAATACAGGAACTAACCACACACCTCCAGGATCTGGAAAAACAGCAGCAGAAGAGTCCCACGCACAATAGGAAACAAGAAATCATCAAAACAAGGGAGGAGATAAACCAAATAGAAATCAAAAAAACTATACATAAAATCAACAAATCAAAAAGTTGGTTTTTTGAGAAAATAAACAAAATAGACACTCCACTGGCCCGATTGACCAAAAAAAAACAAGAGAAAGTGAGAATCAATAGCATTAAAGATGAAAAAGGCAACATAACAACAGACACTACAATCATTAAGAAAATAATTAGAAATTACTACAAAGAACTGTACTCCCACAAATTTGAGGACCACCAAGAAATAGAAAAGTTCTTGGACTCCCACCACTTACCAAAACTCAGTCCGGAGGCAACTGAAGAATTAAATAAACCCATAACCGAGGTAGAGATTGAAA